ACAGTATAATGATAAGAAATCCGTGGTTCGAATCCTGGTCTGACCCCTTTTTTATTTTATTTGTTTTACATCCGGAGCCACAGTTGTTTATTTCAACTTTATCATTTCCTCTTAAACGAACTGCACCGTATTCGCATGGGTTTCTTTTCAGAAATGATTTGTGAAAGATAAAGTTATGCAAGGGAAAAGTTTACAGTCCAAAGTTAGTTGTTTTTTTTTATTGGTAGTGTTTAGGGGAACCTTGAATTTGTTTAATACATCATCGCCAGCTATGAAAGGTGCATTGACGCTGCTGCTGTATTTGCGATAGTCATGTAAGTCACTTCAAAAGAAAATCTTGAACCCTTTTTACATCTTTATACTGTTTATATTTTCACAGGAGATGTGTGGTTTTGCCCGTTTGGGACAGTTTATACCTTATCGTTCACATTGTACAAAAATGTTACGGCGACCGAGTTTGGGTTTCCAATTACACCGCAGGGGTATATTTACTTGACAATGAGTGTGACGCTGAGAGTACAATTTCAGTGTATCATGGCGTCACTCAGCCATGGCGACAGTCAATGTTGACGGTGAATGTAATGTCCGCTTAGGCGGTTATCTCTTCATTTTGTCCTCTAAATGCCCTTCAATGTAAAAGAAGTCAAATATGAGATTTTTTTATTTAATTTCGTACTCGGATGTTTGTTGTCAAGTAAAGGATAAATTAACACAAGGACAGGCATAGTTTTCCGGACTTTTAAAGCAGACAATATGGTATTCGGAGATTTATAGAATAATTCAAAGGTATGTTATAAGTATTAATAATATTATTTTACATATTTTGATTGAAATTTACAAATCAGCATACATTATTTTCCATTTTAAGAATATCATTTTTCTATTATGTACGTAATGGTTGTGGATAAAAACCTTGGTAGAATGCCCCTCGTTGATTTGCCGCCTCGATATGGCTTACTACCAACATTTTGCAAGGCTCCTTTCTTCTCTTTTGGTTCAGAATTCCTTTAAACATTTCCCTCCGTTTATCGCCTAATCCCGTAATTACATGTTACGTCATGTATGTTTGGTTTGGTTTAGTATTGTTTAACATCCTATCAACAGCTGTGGTCATTTAAGGACGGCCTCCCCTGTGTGCGAGATGCATGCGAGTAGTGTATGCGGGTGTTTTTTGGGATGCTGCGTTACCTGTATGCCAAACATTCTCTGGAAAAATAGTGACGGTGTATAAATGTGTTCTTGCTTTTAAATTTCGATTGGCTTTCAGGTGATATAATTATTTTATTAACACATTATTCATGTATCCAATCGTCATGCTGAATGTTCTGTAATAAATTGTGTCAGTATAATTAGGTTTTCTTGTACTTAAATGTCGTTTGACTTGCAAGTAAACTACATAATTATGTCACGCCTTATTTATGTATCGATACAAGACAATTTGATAATTATTTTGTCTTACTTTTAATAAAAAATATTATTTGTTGAAGGGCGTTTGTAGGTGAGAACGAGGTTAATATTGAGAGCTTATTAAGACTCCCTGTCCCACTCCAATGCGGATTGATTTGGGGTGGGTTTTTATACAAATTTATACAAAATTAGATAAATATTTACATGTTGTTGTGATTAAATCTCCCATGTAGGTTGCTACATGGAGAGAAACTTACATGAGTGGCACTATAAATGATGCCGTTGGAAGCACAGTTCGACTACAAACAGAATATATTATATCTCCATCACGCACGCAGGCATACACACATAGGGAGATATAACCCAGGTGACATAGGACTAGTAGTTAGCGCCTGATAAGGCACCTGCTACAAATTCCTCAAAATTGTATTGATTAATGTATATGCTAGTTTCATTAATTGTATATCTATGTACTTTTAAGCGCTTTAGAGTGGCTTATGTTAGCTAGATAGGGCGCGTTATCAAATACTGTATATTATTTATGCCTTGACGCGAACCCGCAACGAGCCCGGAGTCCTACAACTAGACTATACCGTGCCTCCTAATCCTAGTAGTAAATATAAGTAGTACCTGTAGGGGCGTAGGAATATCTCACGGTTTTGACCAATCGCAGCACCGTTAGGTATTATTACACGTGTGTAATACCATATTTATGACATGGCCCTATGGCATAGTAAAATGGGTCAGTTATGTGATAAACTCTATTTTCATTATACTACATATATAATTGATTCCTTTTTTTCATCACAGATGCATCATGTATTATCTCATATAAGTATTTTATACATATATATATATATATATATATAATGTATACCTATCCTCTCACAGGAGGCGGCACACAATTTGAATTTATTTGCTTTGCTTGCTCATGTTCTGGAGTTCAGTACCTGAGAAGGTTTTTTCTAACAATTATTACCTATAACTAGACATCGCACAAGTATACATTTACATCATTCTACAAAGACATAAACTATTACATGGTTATTCCGTCTTTGCGTATTGCAGAGTTATCTTCTCTTGAGAGCAGGTATTGATTGTTACGTCATTTGTTTGTGAGATGAACGTCATTATTTTTTGAGTAAACGACGTAATTTTCTCACACAAACCAATGACGTAACAATCAATACCTGCTCTCAAGAGAAGATAACTCTGCAATACGCAAAGACGGTATATATAAATCCATATTCTGACTAGATGAGGATTTGGATCTACATTGTTAAAATGTATTTAAGTAGAATTAAATTGAACTTAGTATAGATATATGTTGTATATAAGTCAGCTATTTTTTAATCTCAGGATATGAAATGTGTATAAAAATGTATCTATATATAGTATACAAGTAAATTTATTTAAAATAAACTTGAGTATAATAAGTAGTTTTTTTTTACTGTAACACTCCTTCTCTCTTTATATATATTTTTCAATTATATTACATGTATAAATACATATGGATATATAGAATATAAAAATTCGATTGGAATCTGTGTGACAGGGAAAATATATGAAAATGAAAAATCTGTTTTCTTGTAATTTTTTAATTTTCATATGGATATGGATATAAAGTCATATAGTCTATAAATCAATCTGTCTGTTCATAATATATATACTTTCTCATAAAGTAAAATTTTCGAACAACGGACAACATTTCATAAAACTACAGAAAAAGAACACCCCCTGTTTTTTCTCTAATTATAGTTTTGAGTCACATCTGACCTTCTAATTTTAACTTCTAAAAGGAAATCTATATTTTGTTATCGTGTCCGCCCTATTGGCCTTATAGTAGACGCTTTACTTTATTATTTAGCAGTTCTACAAATATAAACATTTTATATATTGTTGGGCTTATTTCATTGCAAAAGAATAAAAATAAAAAAACCAGTTTATCGATTTTCGATTTTATTTGTTATGGTTTCTTTTCATGACAATTAATTAAAATAATAGAAGAAGCGTTGAGGATGATTTTTTTTAAATTTTCATCAGGTTATGAAAATAATTGGTTTTGCTATGCGGATAAATACAGTTTGCCAAAAATAATTCATCATTCCCCTATACAAATAACAAACAAATATGCTTAAAAAATGGCGAACTGTTACTTAATCGTAAATCGAAATCGGAATCTATCAAGAAAGGGTAAACGCAAACAAAAGACACCTTTTCACGAAACCCTTATAAATTAAAGGGAGTATAGACCAAGTGTTCCCGAAAGTAAGCGTTTCTGTAATTCTAGGTAACGCCAAAGGAATGCCATGTTATAAACGTGAAAATCTGGGGTGGTGGAAGCGTTAGAGAGTTCAAAATATTAGCATTAATATTACACAAGGACATGTGTCATTTACGAACGTGTTTATGATGGCGACAGTAAAATATGTTGCTGCATTGTACGAACCAACCTGCCACTCTGCAAATCATGTATTGTAAGTTTGTTCATCAGCATCCAACATTTATCACGGATTTCAGGATATTTGGAGAAAGCCCGTTCATATCGATTCTACTGCGATATGACACAGAAGGGGAAGCAGAGATGTTACTATCAATACATTGAAAGTTCATTGTTGAAGTCGAAGGGCATGGAATCTTAGAACTATGTTCTCCACCTGTGGCGTCCTATGTGTCTACATACTGACTCGGTACATATGTTTTGAGCAGCTTACCAATACGCTTACAATTTGAGAGAGTTGTTGCTGGAAAATTTATGTTAAGGATCCTTGCGTCATTGTCAAAATTCATAACAATCAGTTGGAAGCAGTTTTAAGTTTAAATTCATTATTTCTAAACTGCCAAACCCATACTTTGCAGGACGTTTAGGGAAAATAATGAAAATGAAATAAACAACAATATTCTAAAAGTAACTTGTAACGCTTGGATTCGAGCCCTGGACCGCCGAACAGAATACGGTTCTGCTGCCCGACTGAGCTACCTGTTTAGCGGTTGTCCGTGGCCCAATTAAAATCATAAATACAATTGACTCATTTACCCCTGAAGACACATTTGAGCTCATCCGATGGGAGTTGTTCATTATGACATTTCAGGAGTGAATGAGATAAGAGGGATTACTATATGTATAAAAAAAACCTTCAGTGGAACCTGTAGTGGTTTTCCTGCAGTTGGACATGCATATTTAAGTATACGTTACAAAATAATCCAAAGTTACAACTATACGACATTTATTCTAATCCCATATTGAGAATACGTATACATTCTGTAGTTTATCTATTGGCTTAACATATGCATGAAGCATTGCTACTCTATATATTACAGGGTGAGCAGTCGAGGATACATCGATGACCGTGTCAACTATCAAAGCACAATCAAGCTCATATCTACAAAAGATAATTAATGCTGACTTCGATATGGGTAGCATAAATACTGACGGATTGAAAGTCGACACCCTACCGAACACTGAAAACGATAAAGGTGTTCCGAAGACGGAAAACAAAACAAGTGCTTTGAAGACAGCAAACGATAAAGGTGTTCCGATTATGAAAAATGGTAAAGGTATTTCATCCATGAAAACGGTTCCTAGTGTCAAAAGTATGGTAAAGGATAAAAGTGTCCCGAATGCAATATTCGTATCGGATGCTACGGAAAATGAAACGATCGCAAGTGTGTCTTCAGAGGAAATTTTCCGAGACGTCAAGTCCATTGACAGTGACGATTCTACACCAACTATCGTCCCTAAATCTCCATCCTTCGGCAGGCCGTACCATATTAAGACCAATGGTTCTTTAAATAGCTCAAATTGTCCCAGTGACGCTGAAATGGACAAAACGGATATGACGAGATCATTGAATGACGACATGCAGGGTACAAATGAACAAATAAAAAGGAGCACTCTTCCGAAACAAAACAATGGTCCTAAACTGCAAAGACGACATTCGGAAATGGAAGGCATCAATAAAGAATCCTACATGATTGGAAATCAATTTAAAGTACTCTCCGGAACAACGTCTTTGGAAAGAAACATACACTTACATCACAGCAATGAATCAACTCCTGCTGCAGACGAGAAGAGACTATCGGGGTGGCATACGATAGGGCACAGTTTTCAGAGAAAACTTGGCGGCGAATTCGACAGGACAAAAAGAACAACATGGGGTGGGAAATACGCGAGAAAACAGCGGGAGTCACTAAAAGTGCTAAATGAGTTAGACAACGCTTACCACTACTCCAGTGATAGCTCGGGGGATCATTATTACGAGGCAAATGACAGACAAAGGTCAAAATTCTCGAAAGCGGAATCTGGAAACAAAGGTAGGTGTACATTTATTGAAGCAATGCATGTTTTAAGAAATGTTGTTATGGTCCTATAACACGAATTGCTGTTAATAAAGCCGTTAAGTTTGTCAGCAATATAAATGCGTGTTATACGACCTTAAAAAATATTTGCTAAAATATTCGTTATTGATATTTACATTCTGATACAGTATTTATGCTTTATTTAGTTATTGCGAACAGTTCTTTGATCAGCAAATTAAGTGTTGACAACAATGTAATTGATGACGTCACAAGAGAGATTGATGGCGTTACAATATTTAGCAAATGTTGTTATAGTCTCACAACAACATTTGCCTTCTCAATGCATTGCAATGGAACGTTACAGAGAAAATGAAAATACTTCGGGGTAAAGATGCCAAAAATAAATTACACTTCGTACAACTGTAACACTGAACGTTCAGTTGAACTTGACGTTTAGCAATTTAGGGAGTGAAAAAAGCATTTTCCCTGAAAGGTGTTAAACAGAAAGGATATGTCTTTTAAACCCGAGAGTAAATGCTCATTCGGGGGAATTCATTAAGCATACTTTCAAGGTTCTACCTGAAAGCCACAATGGCATGATGTAATTTGTTATGCTCACATTGGTTTTGACAATCATAATGACAGGTGCGCCGAGAATAATTATTGGGAGATATCATAAACGCACGGTGATATAATATACAATAAAGACGAAACCTATGTTTACACATTTAAACCTGTTTAAATCGTAACCTGCCAGTCCGACGCCCTTTATCAACCGTACACTGCCTAGATAATTTTTCGTATATTTCTTTGTAAATTACACCTTTGTGTTATACAAATGTATTAATTCAAAACTGGAACGTAGCTCGACCATTTGTTTGCCCTAATGATCTATCCTGTGCTGATGGGCCGTTAAGCATGTAATAATAATAACAGATATATGGTATGACGTTCATTGTTTTAGAAGATTTTAGATATTCTTGAAAAGATCTTCAGAATTTTTTAACCCTGTTACACTAACCCCGCTTCATTGGTCTCCTGAAGGAGTGGGACTAAGTGTCGAGGATGGCGGCCCAGATGACGTCTTCATCAGCCAAGTCGAAACGGAAGAGGATGCACAGATGTATGAGGAAAACCTGCAGTAAGTGAATTATGTTTTGTTAAATCTTCTTTATGATAACAGTCAGATCAGGACACTTCCGTCGATAAGGTAGCTCACCCGGTTTAAGCAATAGTGCTGCAGTTTAAATTTCAGGTGGGTTTTTTTACGCTCAGAACACTGGTATTTATTACATTTTGTTTATTTGATTTGGTTAAGTTCTCACATGGTATATTGCTCTTTTTCAGAAATAATGTATCAATGCTATAGTCACGTTAGAAAGAAAACAGTTTCCAATACTTAGTAACAGGTTTTTGGCATGTGGAAGAAGATAATCAAACTATAAAAAATCTCTCTCTTTCCCGTGAAAATTGTATTAAATTTGGACCTCTCTAGTATTTTGTGAGGCCTCTGTAATACTCTGAATCTCATTAAAACGAAATCCTGCATTTAGTTTTGTAATTTGCATATTTTAGAGAAGGAATTATAAAATATCACAATATCCCATGAAATACAAGTTCTGCATTTCCATATATCCGATACGATTAGTTTTTCTAAAATACATATCCTAGTTTCAGTTAATAATATAAGGAACTCATTAGTTCCTCGTAGATTCCATTGAAATCAGTTACTTAAGTTGTGATATCGATTTCTATATAACTGTATCTGACATCTGTTTGTCAATAAAATTCAGTCTTGTATTTCATTACGTTGTTCTAGATTACAAATACTGTGTGTCGTTCACACCAGAAACTCAAATTTGGCATATTTTGCAAATGCACAACTTGTTTGTATTCATTATCTTGTCTATCTGGTTGTATTTCTTGTAAATGAAGGTGATATTTGAAAATAGGTAACAAATAAAAAATCACAATTTTTTGAACGAAAGAGAGACGCATTTTCAGAGTGTTTTAAACTTAATGTAGAAAAAGCGAATTCCACAAGAAATGAATAAAAAACATATAAAGATAATTGTAAACTTCAAATATATTTACCAGCCCAAATTCCTACATATTTCCATTTAATGAAATCTTTCTGTCGTCCGTATCTTACAGAGAATACATGTCCATCTGCATGAGTGGGATATACGGCATTTTTCTGGCGGTCATTGGATTGGTCATCCCACTGGCCGAAACCTTTGCAGATCCCTCACTACCATTTATATTCGAGGTTGGTATATTGTGATATTCAATGATGATATCGGTATTAAGATTCCATGTTTGTATATTCAATCTCCTTTGATTTACATCTGTTTCTGCTACAGATATGTATTGAAAACAATTTCTAGTATTGCAATGTGTTTTTTGAATATTGCAAATTCATCACAAAATATTATACCCCTAGAAATTAAATCCTTAAAAATACGTTAATAAGAAAGTAAAAAAAAAAATGAACATAAAAAATATATTTTGTGTAGGTTTGGAAGTTAGCTCACAAAGCAAGCTAAATTCAGAAAAAAATCCATCTGGACATAAGTTTTTGAAGATTATTTCATGTCTATGCTTCTTTGTTCCAAAAGATTAGTTGAAAATGGTTCCTGCAAAACATTGCCATGTCAAAATCATTTTACACTATATTTATATTGCCAGACAATATCGCGATATATTGTTATTGTTACTAGGCATTATTTCAAAATATTGGTATTGTTGCTAGACAATATCGTGATATATTGGGTATTGTTACTAGACAATATTGCACTATATTGATATCGTTGCTAGACAATATCGTGATATATTGGTATTGTTACCATACAATATATCACTATATTGGTATTATTGCTAGACAATATCTTGATATATTGGTATTGTTACCATACAATATATCACTATATTGGTATTGTTATATTACTTCCTAGCACGAATTAATGTTATTATAAGTCCAGATTCATGAATCCTCTCCTTTTGTCAAAGTCACTCTTTGGTTCTTGTCTTTTTGTTTGCATTTCGACTTGTATTTTCTATTAAATATTGCAAATCTGTTTTGACATAGTGGTATCTATAATGCATTCCTATTACTTTAAGTATCATTGAAAGTCGTAAACTTAACAAAACGTATTAATAAGACGAAGAATATCTACTGCTGGGCATAAAAGCCTAATTTTCGTTGTCGCTGACTTTCATGCCTACCGGGATCTGACATGTGCATCATGTAGTGCACTGTACACAAGCCAAAATCACTACAATACCAGCACACTATCACACAAGCCAAAATCACTACAATACCAGCACACTATCACACAAGCCAAAATCACAACAATACAAACACACTATCACACAAGCCAAAATCACAACAATACAAACCAATTATCACTAAAATACAGGCACATTATCACTATCACACAAGCCAAAATCACAACAATACAAGACAATTATCACAACAATAAAAGCACACTATCACACAAGCCAAAATCACAACAATACAAGCCAGTTATCACTAAAATACAGGCACATTATCACTATCACACAAGCCAAATCACAACAATACAAACCAATTATCACTAAAATACAGTCACATTATCACTATCACACAAACCAAAATCACAACAATACCAGCCAGTTATCACTAAAATACAGGCACATTATCACTATCACACAAACCAAAATCACAACAATACAAGCGAGTTATCACTAAAATACAGGCACATTATCACTATCACACCAACCAAAATCACAACAATACCAGCCAGTTATCACTAAAATACAGGCACATTATCACGATCAAACAAGCCAAAATCACAACAAAATAAGCCAATTATAACTAAAATAGAGGCACATTATCACTATCACACAAACCAAAATCCCACAAGCCAAAATCACAACAATACAAGCACACTATAACACAAGCCAAAATCATAACAATACAACCCAATTATCACTAAAATACAAGCATATTATCACTATCACACAAGCCAAAATCATAACAATACAACCCAATTATCACTAAAATACAAGCATATTATCACTATCACACAAGCCAAAATCACAACAAAATAAGCCAATTATAACTAAAATAGAGGCACATTATCACTATCACACAAACCAAAATCACAACAATACAAACCAATTATCACTAAAATACAGTCACATTATCACTATCACACAAACCAAAATCTCACAAGCCAAAATCACAACAATACAAGAACACTATCACACAAGCCAAAATCATAACAATACAAGCCAATTATCACTAAAATACAGGCACATTATCACTATCAAACAAGCCAAAATCACAACAAAATAAGCCAATTATAACTAAAATAGAGGCACATTATCACTATCACACAAACCAAAATCACACAAGCCAAAATCACAACAATACAAGCACACTATCACATAAGCCAAAATCACAACAATACAAGACAATAATCACTATCACACAAACCAAAATCACAACAATACAAATCAATTATCACTAAAATACAAGCACACTATCACTATCAAACAAGCCAAAATCACAACAATACAAGCACACTATCACACAAGCCAAAATCATAACAATACAAGCCAATTATCACTAAAATACAAGCATATTATCACTATCACACAAGCCAAAATCACAACAATACAAGTCAATTATCACTATCACACAAACCAAAAATGACAACAATACAAGCCAATTATCACTAAAATACACGCACATTATCACTATCACACAAACCACTATCACACAAGCCAAAATCACAACAATACAAGCCAATAATCACTAAAATACACGCACACTATCACTATTACACAAACCAAAATCACACAAGCCAAAATCACAATACAAACCAATTCTCATTACAATACAGGCACATTATCACTATCACACAAACCAAAATCACAACAATCCAAGCAAATTATCGCTATCACACATTCCAAAATCACAACAATACCAGCCAGATATCACTAAAATACAGGCACATTACCACTATCACACAAGCCAAAATCACAACAATACAAGCACACTATCACACAAACCAAAATCACAACAATACAAGCAAATTATCGCTTCACACATACCAAAATCACAACAATACAAGCACATTATCGCTATCACACAAGCCAAAATCACAACAATACAAGCACATTATCGCTATCACACAAGCCAAAATCACTGTAATACAAGCAAATTGACGCTATTACACAAGTCAATAATCACAAATACATCAGCCAATACTCAGTATTAAACAAGCGAACAATCACTGTTACGAAAGCTGATCATCAGTTTTGCAAATGCTCAATTATCAATATCACACGAGGCAATAATCACTATCATTCGAGTCAATAATCACTATCACACGAGTCAGTAATCACTTTCACAAAAGTCAGTAATCACTATCACACAAATCAATTATCACTATCAGACCAGTCAGTAATCACTATCACAAAGTCAGTTATCACTTTAAAACAAATTAATTTTCACTATCACACAAGTCAGTAATCACTGGCACACAAGTCAATAATCACTATCACAAAATTCAATATTCACTATCACACAAGTCAATATCTACTATCACACAAGTCAATATCTACTATCACACAAGTCAATATTCACTATCACACAATCCAATAATCACTATCACAAAAAATCCATAATCACTATTGCACAAGTCAATAATCACTATCACACAAATCCATAATCACTATCACACAAGTTAATTATCACTATCACACAAGTTAATAATCACTACCACACAAGTCAGTAATCACTATCACACAATTCAATATTCACTATCACACAAGTCAATTATCACTATCACACAAGTCAGTAATCACTATCACACAATTCAATATTCACTATCACACAATTCAATAGTCACTATCAAACAAGCCAATAATCGCTTATTCACATGGGTTCTGTTGGCAGTCTACATCTATCTGTGTCATGTAAATCCACTATGGCGGCATTCTGCATTGTTTGCATTTTTTTGTCACTGGAATCTTTGAAAGCGTTCCACATTTATCTGTACCTCATGGTACGTATGCAATCCTCGTTGTAGGCATTCTATTTATATCTCTACGTCATGGGAATCCTTTTCATCATCTACATGTACGTGTTCATGATGCGGAAAAGGCAACTGCGCGTGACTGACATTGCAAAAGCACTATCACGCAGGCTGTCGTCGTCCAAGACTCTCCCTACTTCCGTTTCGGAGCAGACGAAGGATGGTAAACCATCGACCCATCTATCAATCAACTACCCAAACTCTACGGGTAGCTTCTACTTACGGCTAGGCGCACTATGTAAGTAACTCATAGCCTATTTACTTGAGATACATAAAGACCTATGTGTGTTGTATATTTGAATTACATGTAGTAACTACCAATATCTCATATAGACTAGGAACATGTAGTGAAATAACCTCTTCGTCGAGACCATTTCGTCACAAAAAGTCAACCTAGCTATAATGTATGATAAGGATTTCTTTCAAAAGCGATATCGAAAAGCTGTTTTCAGGCCTCGAACAAGGGTCCAATTTATATTTGCGGTTTTTGTAAGAGATATATGGGTATCGTTAAAACTTAAACTTGAGAAAAACATAGTCTTGTTCAACCAGACGCTTGATCACTTTGTAATTCGCAGACAGCAAGAGTCTGGTTGAACGAGACTAGAGAAAACTGTAGATTAACTGCATGCACTGTAACTGGGTTTAGAATAATTCTATACTACATATTGGACAGCTACATACATTGTACATATTTTCATATAACAATATCATTAGTGTTAAAGCATGGTAGTAGTAGTATTCGCAGCACTGGTCTCCTTTCAACCCAAATATGCAAGGTCGTTTTGCATGTGTACGTATTCTTTCAACAGTGTTCGGAGTAGGAAGTATGGTTGACAGTGGTCTTCATTTTGGGCAACACTTCCAGGCTTTCGATGGAGAGTCAATGTGTAACAAACCTATCGAGGCGGCTAAGCCATTCGGTCATCTCGTCTTCACCTTTGTCCAGCTCTACTTTATCTTCCTCAACTCAAAGGTACTATACATTAGTTTACTTTCGCTATTATTATGTTATTTAATTTGAATCTTATATCTTTTTTTTTTCATTGTGTAATTATTATATATAATTAATCATTCTATTATTTTTATTACAAACATTCTCTTAGGAATAATACATCTGGTATGTTTTCAAAAACTAATTCCTATTTTAAACATAGTACAAATGTCACTCTAAGTCCGATTATTTCGACCTCCTCACCTTCTTTGAGAGCGAAAGTCAACGAGTGTTTCAAGTAACGTATATCTTGCTTCTTGGTAATTAAAGGAAATGACGTTACTTTAAACAATCTTTGACTTTAGCCCTTGACAAGGCAAGGAGGCCAAAATATTTGTACTAAGAGTGGCATCTGTTCTATAATTTTTTTTATATCTTTTTTGTATTTTCCCTTTAGAAATCATCTGTTGTTTATTAATTTCTATTTGCTTTTTGAGAAACAGCATCTTACATTGTTATGTCTATCAAATTAATTTGTCTTTGAACAAAACAGTCTAAAAAAGTAACTTTATGAGTACAAAACAACTCCTAACTGTAAAATATTGCTTATTCAAGCATAAAGCATTTTATTCATATCTCCAGTAGTATACCCGGTCGCTATTCTGTCTGAATATAAACGAAATGTTTCATAACTAAAACCTTATCAAACAATATGTTATATACACCACACCAAAATAGCGACGTAACCAATTTTGTTGTTACGTCACAGGAATTGACATATAAACGACTTCTTTTGGTTGTACTGGCTACATATCCTTTTGTTTGGAGCTGTGAATCCATTAACCCAAGAACAATTGCCAGGTTTGCTATATCTACTCCAGACTAAAAGTGTGACGTAATCAATTTTGTTGTTACGTCACAGTAATTGAAATATTTTTTATTGGCCTCGTTTGGTTGTACTGACTACATATAATTTGCTTTCCAGTTGTGTATCCATAACAACAGAATAATTGCGAGGTTTGGTATGATACACCTTTGTTGTACCAATATTTGTGTATGGATTCAAAGCCTCGTTGTGGAAACACTGTCCGTTCTACACCATTGGAACGTAGTTCACCAAGCGCAAGTTGCCATGACACCAAACACGTCAGACGCACCGTCAACCCAAATATTCAACCAAGAACCAACAAGTATGTAATATGTACCTAACATATTTAGAAGGATTTTGTTGAATAAATATTGGTCTCAAACACCGTTAATAATTAGTTTCAACAGGGAATGTATATCGCTGAAATCTATTTATAGAAACAAAAGAGTACTAAAGTGTGAGCTAAACCATAATACTAACACAAAATCGATACAACTTGGACAAAAAATGAATAAAGGAAATATTTACATGGAGACGATTGATTAAGTACAATAAGAGTCAGACCAGTTGTTTCGGAAAGTAACCGTCTTCTGCTTCATCTATGACACCCTCGATATAATAATGGTTCAAATCACGTAAAGCCACGTCCTCCCCGAGACCTCGGGTAACGACAACAAAACCACAAGGTACTCTAATGAGCATAATAAAAAACATTGACTTTCATATAACACAAAGAAATGTCATATTTCCTAATGAAACCGCGTATCGTGGAACGGTTAGAACAGAACTATGTTGCATGTTAAATACATTTCAAACCTTTAATATTTGTTCTGGAGACCAAATCAGCAGAAGTTTTTGTGCTTGATATGTCCAACTTCGGAAAAATTAACTATTTGACCTCAAATGAGAGGATTTTCACCGACCAAAAGGAAATTATGTTTCATATAAAATGAATTTGAATTGAGGATATCAATCAATAATATGAAATAATTACTGAATTTGAATGATAGGGTAAACAATGATACGGGGAGAAAATCCGATTCAATGACAAGTAGATGAAAAAATAGATAAACAAGGGCAAAAATGTTAAAAATATTGATAAATTGACCATCTTATAATATTCACTCAATTTAAATAATCACGATGCACCTAAAGCTTAAGAATATGCAGACGTTGAAGGATAATGAGAATGAAAACATTAATGTTTACATGTATTTTGTAGTCTTCTAACAAATGACATCTATGAAATGTTTAAGGCTTGGACAGTCCGAACTCTACTGTGCACGGATCCACACCGGAAGTGACGTGTTATTGGGACGAAATGATGTCACGTGTTGTACAGTCTACGGGGCCATACCTGTATTCATGCACCATTGAATACAGTATTATTTGCACTGGTAAGATATCGGGTGGGGGGTGAGGAGACAGGGTAACATCTACATTATGTTTTTTCTCCAAACAATGAGACTATATAGATAAAGAATCTATATTATGCAAACGAGGAAAAAGGGAAGTTTGGATTTTCAATTCATGTCGACATATTGAGCTACTAGTGTAGTTTGGTTTAGTACTGTTTAACGTCCTATCAACAGCTATGGTGATTTCAGGACGGCCTCCCCTGTGTGGAAGATGCATACTTGTATAGTAATTATTGCATTAGGATCTCTGTTCCACTGCAAAAACAATCACTATGGATTAGAAACTATAGCTTAAATATATTATTTCTGAAATCAGATCTTGGGGAACTTAAATAAAACAAATATATCAAAAAAAATGAAACGAACAAAATGATCAAGAGCAATGTTCTGAATTGAAAAATAAAACAGTACTTAGGAAAGATTTGAGTCCTTGTCTACCGATCATTTAAGTGTGACTCTAACCAACTCTAACCAACTAGTCTACTCGGTCAATTATGGTCGCGTTACAGACTCAAAATCAAAGGGGAACCATACAATGTGGCTAGACGCGGTTTCGAACCCTGAGCCCTCTGATCCAGGGACGTGCTCTAAGCAACAATGGTCGAGTTGAACTACACTTATATCTAAAATGAAATCAAGGGGAGGGAAGGTAACAGTTTCAACGAAAAACGAGTTTTGCCTGCTGTGAAACAGGGATGCTTGAACAGATTTTGTATGTGAAGTCTCTGTATAGATCATTGATATAATTTATAGCATCATATTTTTTACCTGTCACTTAGGTATACTCTACGTAATGTGGACCAACGTGGGAACGAATCGGAGACCGAAACATCAGGCAACGGACACCGGAAATGACTTCAATACACAAAATGATGACGACATCAGTTCTCTTGACATGAAACGTCACAAAATTAGCGTAGATTGTACAAATTCCAGCCGTGGTCTGTTTATTGGCATCCTTGTCTCCGTAGGCGCCATCATAACAATGGTAGCATTCTACGTCATGATCAATCTAAAAACATTTCAGGAAACGGCAGTTGTCTTGATGCTTCTATCCGAAATGACGATGTATATTCTGACCAGCATTGCGAGCTTTCTAGCAGCAGAACGGATGCACAAATTACGTCATTATTCTGCACTGAAATTCGGTCTAGAAGAGGGCCTCCTTTTAGTATCATTTACTGGACTGGTCATGTTCGGTGTGTTTAATATAGTACCGGATGTTCATTACACAGACAAAGCACTTGGAGTACTTAACGTTATGACAAACGTTCTCATGATCTTACAAGCGTCTATTCAAACCGTTCTCTTACTCACAACAAGGAAATTTCGAGCTCTCAACAAGGAGCAGGAGAAAGGGAAGTATGGACGACAGTTAATTACATTTCTGATCCTTTGCAATTTTGCAATGTGGACTCTAGAAACATTTCAAGCACGCGAACCTGAACATAATCCCATCCAGGTTGATATGTATGGAGTAAAAGCGTGGGCCCTGTTTTCTCACATAGCGGTACCATTCGGAATACTCTTCCGGTTCCATTCGTTCGTGTACTTGTTGAGCATTTGGAAAAGCGCCTGGAAAATTAAGACCGAAACAGAACAAAATTGATGTGCAAAATGTCCATATCCACTTAAATGAGAATTTGACGTTTGCTGTTGTGCTTATAATATGGAATATGACTCATGCTTGAGTTTGCTTAGATAAACTAGCAAATAAATATTAAATTACATTTCATATTATTTCATAATGTTATACTCAACGGAAGTTTAAAGATTGGCGAAAATGGAAAAGAAGGAATAATTCAATTAATCAGATTTACTCAGACGAAACAGTGTAGAAGAGTTGCAATATTGGTTGACAAGAAATAGATGTTCATCAGTCATTATTATGTAATTTGACACATGAGACTCATACTGAAGTTTAAAAATCAATTTATTTTTTTTACTCGTCAGTGCAAGATAAACCAGTAAAACCTATGAGTCTCTAGTTCTGGTAAAAAATAATTTTACATTTTTTTTTATCAACGAGGAGGAATTTTGACATCATCTTTGCTAATTGGAAATCCAGGCAACAACGTCTCCAGTTTAATGTTAGCGTAATATTTGGATCAAATGAAATAAACTTAACGACAAACTAACCAATTCGGCGTCTGACAGCCTAGTTGAGATGTTTTACCCCTGGATAGGTAGGATGGATATTCAACGTAATATTTTGAAAAGGAAAAGAAAAGCACTTATTTACTCGATTTACACTCTATGTTAAGCTGTTTTTAGAGGAAAGAAGCGTTTTCCCTGTGAGGACGTACTCATTTCTGAATGCAACCAAGATTTGCATAGTTCATGTCGCGCTTACACTTCAGGAACGCATGGTCTTATTCTTCTTTTGTGGCTTGTTTTTATGAAACAGTTCCTTTTTTATCTGGGTTTAAGTACTCCAAAATGTTTGCTTCCCTAGCCTCGGGTTAAATTACGGCATAATCATTTATTATATTAATAATAAGAATACTTAAAGCGCTGTATTAGAAGAAGCCCATATGTGTTAACTGGAAAATAAAAATCTGAAATTGTCTATTAATATTTTTTGTCTGTCTATAGTCAGTCATTACAAGCTTAGCCTATATAAAATTAAACACAGAGGCTATACATCAAATCTTCACGTAATTTACCTGACTCTTAATTCATTTTAATTTTAGATAATTTAGTTAAGTACATATTAGTAGGATTGTCGTGTCATTGCCGAAAACTGTAACACTATGAATTGGAAACTCTTTTTTGATCAGCATGAAAATGGACCATATCCTACTGTTCTTTTACCAAAAGTATCAGTATTGAAACAACGCAGTGTTCCGAGAGTACAAAATGTAACGGGGCAAGACTGCCATTCGAACCCTTGCTCTCTAAACACAATACATTCGCTCTAACAAGCTGAGCTACGTGATCAGCAGTTGATCTCTAGCCCAGTCCTACTTAGTTAAATCCATAAAGTAGGAAATTAAACACTACAATGGAAGTTCTTTTGTCTGCGGTTGGACAATGATACTTAACACAGAAACATTAACATTCGCTACGTTGTTTAAAATTTTCTTTATTTGACACTCTCAGTTACAAAGCACAAATATGAAAGACTGGTTAAAAATTTATTGAAATAAATATATCAAAAGTAATAAATACAGTATGAGGTATAAAAAAGTTATTGATAAATTCTTTTACACAAAAGCCATTTCAACCCATTTTTTTCATACATCAAACAAAACCGAATGTTTAAAATATATGTCTTTTAATCGTTCAGTTCACACATTATTTCCTTTGTTTTTTTAACAATGTTTTCTTGGTTTTATAATTTCTTTTCTTAACATAAGAATATCAAGCTTTTCCAAAGCAGCTGACAATAAACGTAAAATAAACCTATATTCGAATTTCTCATAAATTGAATGAGTATTTCGATTTGTTACTTTCTTTAAATAAAAAAAAAAAATAAAAAAAAATAGACAATATATTATTTTCATATTACGTGATACCAAAACATAAATTTAAATGGATTTATATTGTATTTATACTTTTATAATAAGCTGTGCTGTTACAAATACCAATATAAAACATCAAAATATCGCTTTATATTTATAGGAGAGTTATAGAAAAAATGAATTAAATTATTTTTATATATATCAAATAAAACAAAAAACACATTTTATATACAATATGTTGCAAAAGTAAATGAATATATAAATAAGTAAAAAATAAACAAACAAAATCTGGTCGCTTCAATTTGCGTTATCCGTGACAGATTAAAACTCCATTCATATTTTTTACTTAAGTCTTGAATTTTGTAAGATATCAGGAAGTGTTTATAATAATTTAAAAACATGAATGAATTTATAATGGTCGTATAAAAACGCACAAATTGAAAATAAAACAAGATAATGATAAAATATATCAAGTACACTTTGTACAAATATATGAACATATATTGTCACTCTTGATTTCTGAATTTGAATCACATGGATTTTTCGCCACAATATATCTTTTGTTAAGGTGGCTCCACACTTTCGCAATTAACCAGCAAAATTCGTTGAAACTTTCATATAATTGTTATGCAACTATGTCGAGTTATGAATTATGAAAATCTAAACATTCCGATAGTTTGGGGAATTTTTGGAAAAAATACCAAAAAATTGAATTTTCGACAATTCTAATATTTTCCGGTTTTTTGTGTGTGTGGCATTGTTCGGAACAATAACAACAATAATAAAATGAAAAGAAGCATTTCTAATTAATCCTACAAATATTTTATTTATCGCAAAATATGTAACACATGTTACACAAAGTGTTTTTTATTGAATTTGTACGGATAAAAGTGATTATCTACAAGCTAAAAGCACCCAGGACACAAAGTTCTATACATATAGAGTGGGAAATTGAACAAAATATACACAATGGCTTTATAATTAATTCATTTTACATTTTACAATCACTTTGATCCGGGTGAGAGTTATCTTCCTTGAAAAAAATCGGAACTTTTTGCAGAGGGGTGACATTTACACAATGACAGTTGTCTCTGTTTACATATAACAAAAATGATGGAAATAAATCAAAAATATGATATCAAAATTATCAATTTATTGTTCTTTAATGGAACCAAATTACCCTCAGTCATGTACACTTTGGACATCATTCCACAGTCCGCTAACTCACGGTATATTTATAATTACATGTCAGACCAGAGGCTATCGCATGGTATACCGTTCTGACGTGCACTCACACATGCATTTCATAGGTATCTTGATATTTTACAAAACATTATTTTCACAGAGTAAGCTAGTAGACTACATTTGTAAACACGATTTAATCGACAGAGCGAAACTCCCTCAACAGCGAAAATCGTAACGACCTCGAGCTTATGTACTCGTGTAAACACGCGATATGCACATGTGAGGTTGGTACGTCCGCATTCCATGTGTTTCCTATATGACCTTCTTGAGGTCGTCTGGTCTCATGTCACTGTCTTCCCCTGAGTCTGTTTATGTCTCTGAATTGAAAAGCTTTATTCCTGAAGTACGTGTGAGTATACATTTCCCGGTAAAATCTTGATATCGGGTGTTGACATATCATCGGCACGCACGTGTACTATTGTTTACCATGGGCCTGTTCGTTTATGCGGAACAACCGGTTTGACCGTTTATAAATGTAACAATTTCGGTTGTAAATCCTGGCGGACCTGCAAATGTGCATGCAGGCCTTGCAAGGCTTTCTCAAGACTCGCCTGAAAGCAGCATCAGATTACTAGGTCCGACCTTATTTAATAAACGAACAACAGTGGTCCGATCGGTTTGACCGTTTAAACGAAAACGGCCCAGCAGGTGTTACTATAATTTGCACTACGATATTGAATGCCCGATACGCAATACGGAAATGACGACACGGTGTACATGCACATTTCGATTAAGATATTGAGTCCTAGCTGTACTTTTTCCGGAAGTATGTCACGAAAATGGACGCTGATGACGATGTGTCGAGCCACCTTAATGAAAGTCGTACTTTTTGCTTGCTTATTAAATTCCTTGTACATTGTTTGTTGCAATTTTATTTCTTAAATCATATAGATACGTACAAAAATCTGAGAATTCACTATATTTGATCTGCTTGTACAAAATTAAAAAAAGTTTGTTGTTAAATACAAAAAAAAAAAGACGAAAAAGCGTTTCCTAATCCGAGTTCAATAATATTACTATAATAAATAAATAAATGAATACAAACGAAAAAATAGATAAACTAAATAACAAAGAAACATTTACAAAGTTTTAAAACAGTCTTCAGACATCTTTAAACGTATATTACTGCAATTAATCAAATTCCACACGGGATTTTAATCGCTGAAAATGCGATTATTTTGGGTTCCTGCCCTTCGTCAATCTCACTGGAGAAAATGCTGTTGATTTTTATGTCATGACTATTTCGATAATTGCGTACACTATTAAACATCGTGTAATATATAATTGTTTTAAAATTGACAAAAATCAAGAGAAATTTGCCCAGTGAGACTGAAGAAGGGCAAGAGCTAGGTAGTATTTAATGGAATCTGTTAAGATATAAACAAAGATTTCATTTCCAGTCAGTATGAATCAAGAATACATTTGTTTCATCAAACGTCGGCTGTCCCCGAGAGTTATAAAGAGGTATCGCAAAATTCCTATATAAAGTGTACAGTATTATGGTTCTGTTGATTTACAAGACTTGCACACGTCCCCGTCGGTTTTCCAAGGTTTATCGGAGAAAGTAAGATTTTTGAGCTTATTCGGTTTGTCTGCGTTGACCTTCATTATTGCTATGGGATTGGGGTCATATGCATAAATGGTGGCGTTTTTCATCTTCTTTGCAAGTTCTACTGCGATGGCGCCATTTTCACATCCGATATCGTAAATAATCAGCTTTCCTGAATAAAGATTACCTCATGAATATCATTTTCTTATAAAACCGACTATGCAAGAGTTTCCCCCGTGATCTAACATGTTCCAATTCAAGTATCTTGTCTACAATTGTTGCCGTCTTATTTATATTTGATATATATACTTCCAGTATAAAACAAACTGCGATGCAATATTTCGAATGGTCTAGATAATTTAAATTGCGGTATGCATAACATTCGCAAAAGCCAACACGGATCTGAAAATATGAATATACCTTTGAGATTGGTTTCCGAAGATTGCCAGTTTTGCCAGCTTCTTAAATAAATATATATATAAGTAATTATCAGAACTTGAAATCTATATACAAATACAAAAATAAGGTTGACGTCCATGTGAAAGGAAAATGATACAAAAGTGTAAAAATCACAAGAACACCGATAATGTTTTTCAAATTCTGATAATTGCTTAAGTACTGGTAGAAAGATCACTGTTTCCTTTCTAAATATATTTAACCGGATACTGTTAAGATCGATTTCAGTCCACCACTTTATTAATAATAAGGGCATTCCTATATATTTACATTCTGTATGCTTGGACCCATTGCCACTTATTTTGCATTAAAAATGCAGCCTCATCACATTTCGAATTAATGTAATGCCGAGCCGCATTACGTGTTAAAGATAAAAGATGTTGTTTGAAGAATTGATAGTTTAATACTACGCGTGCGATTCTACGAATTAAATTTTGAAAATGGACTTTTATTTTGTTTGTTTTGTTGTCATGCTGTTGCTAGGACCCCCAACGGAAGTTTCACATTTCCCGGCAAACTCACGCTTTCGCTACGTGTATGAATAGAGAAAATTAACTGTTTTCATTTTATCAGTGCTTCCATCTGTAAATTAAAGGCATATGAAAATAGACAAACAGGGAATGTAATTTACTTTTGTAACATTTATCAGGTCATAACAACATTGGGTTTCTGGGCATATTTGCAATGAATCTCGTTAGCGATGTCCAGAAATCCAATGTTGTTATGACCTCATAAATGTTGCAATAAATAAATTGTATTCCTTAATTATGAACATTTCTTTGTGGTTTCAGTGAGATAGCACTATAAATTCGGCA